AGTAACCCCCAAGCATGGCTGATTGTGGTCTAACACTCTCTCTACTCCAGATTTATCCAGCATATAAGAAATTTCGACTCTTCCTAACAGGAATTCAAAGTAACAATAGTTAGGTTGCATTTTATAACTATTTTGTTCAGTGAATTGAAGAAATAGAGAATTCCAACAAGAAAATTGTTGGAAAAACTTCAATCAGAAGTCACTAAACTGAAGTCACTAAACAGCATTGGAAAAACTTCAATCAGAAGTCACTAAACTGAAGAGGATAGTAGAACAAAAGAACACAATGGAGGGAATAAGAAACAGATTGATGAAAGGAAAGGACTGAATCAGCATGCTTGAAGACAAGATACAAAAAAAATCCAAAAAGAACCAAAAACAATGAAAAAAATGTAGGACATCTATAGGGAACTCACGACCTTCAGATTATAGCACAGTGGTAGGGCATTCGCCTTACAAGCGGCCAACATGGCCGACCCGAGTTCTATTCCTCCGCCCCTCTCGGAGAGCCCGGCAAGCTACCAAGAGTATTTGATATGCCAGACACAGTAACAACAAAGTCTCCAATGGAGACGTTACTGGGCCCGCTCGAGCAAATCGACGATCAACGGGAGGAAAAAAAAAATAAAAAAAATAAAATAAATTAAAAAAAATCTATAGGGAAAGTCACAAAAGAAATAATGTTTGCATTACTGGGGTTTCAAAAAGAATGGAAGGAAAGAATGGGGTAGATAATTTTGATGGGAGAAATTCAAGTTTTGGTGGGAGAAATTCTAGCTCCAAACTTCTCCAATCTGAGGAATAACCCATACACCATGAGAAATGTCGCATTTCAAACAGAATAAACTCAGAGAACACTAAAATACATCATATTAAGATGGCAACAGCCAAAGACAGAATAGCAAAAGCAAAGTGAAAAATTACTTCTAAAGGAGTATCTACTCACAGCAGATCTCTGTAAAGAAACCTACATACAGGCAAGAAGGAAATGGTAGGATACAGCCCATGTCCTGAAAGACTGTACAGAATGCACTCAATGGGCTGAATGGTAGGATAAGAGTCAAAGCACTGAATAAAATGGTCAATGTACTGCATGATCAGAAAATCAAGATTACTTTATTTGGTCAGGTTATCAATCAGATACAAAGAAGTGAATAAAACTTTACTGACAAAGAACTTATAAAGAAGTTCTTGGGCACTAAACCAACCCTGCAGTACACACAAACATGAATGCATCTAAAAGGCGAATAAAAGACCATAGAAACAAAGACTAAACAAATACCTAGAATCCATACAAAAACATGGCATCAAATTCTTCCTTTTCAATAATTTTGTTTAGTGTTTTTTTTTGCTTTTTTTTTTCCGGGTCACACCAGACAATGCACAGGGGTTAGTCCTGGCTCATGCACTCAGGAATTAATCCTGGCGGTGCTAGGGGGACCATTATGGGATGCTAGGAATTGAACCCAGATTGGCTGCATGCAAGGCAAATGCCCTACCTGCTGCCCTATTGCTCCAGCCCCAATTTTGTTTAGTGTTAATGACCTACACTCTACAATAAAAAGGCAGAGAGAAGCTAAATGGATTGGAAAATTGAATTCACCCTTTTGTTGCTTAAACTGCCACGATAAACATAGGCTCAAAAGTTAAAAGCTGAATAACAATCGTATAGGTAGACAATATACTTTAAAAGGTTAAGATTCATACTTACACCAGACAAAACAGAATTCAAGCTAAAAAAGTAATTAAAAAGACAGACATTATATAATGATCAGAAGAACTATACATCAAGAAGACAACACTCACTAATATATATATGCACCTAACAACGAATCACGAATCATGACCATCCTGTTATTCGCCGATTGCCTCGAGCAGGCCCCAGTAACGTCTCCTTCATCCTAGCCCTGAGATTTTTAAGAAAGTGCTATATTCAAGGCTCTTTAGGAGAATGAGACCCATCATTGTTACTGGTATTTGGCATACTGCGCACCTAACAAGAGAGTACCAAAATATCAAACCAACTACTAACAGGCCTGAAGGTATATGACAGTAAAATAATAGTAGCAGGAGATTTTAATAATATACTCCTACCATTAGATAGAACAGAGAATCAATAAGTAAATAAGAAGCATTAAAGTAAGAAATAAAAGAGGTGGGCTTCATAGAATATTATGGGGCTCTCCATTCTCAAAAAGCCCGGTATATTCTCCAGTGAAAAATGGGTCATTCTTTAAAATATATCACATTTTGGGTCACAAACAAGTCTACACAAAATCAAGAAAATAGAAATCATTATCAAGTTTCCGCTCAGACCACAACGCTATAAAGATTAAAATAAACCACAAATAGAAAACCAGAAAAAAAACCTCAAATATACACATAGAGTAAAAGAGGAAATCAAAGAGAAATTAAAAGACTCCTGGATACAAATGGGTAAGAATACAATAGCTACCAGAACCTTAAAGAATACAGTAAAAGCCAGGGTTCATACTTTGAAAGTAGGAGCCCCAGGTTTGATCCCTGGCACCACATGACCCTTCAAGGATCCCTATGTACCAAACTGGAATATGTACTTATTATACATTGCCAGGTATGCCCCCTCTAAATAACCCCAAATACAGGAAAATATAAAAATGTTAGAATCTATCATTAAGTACATATATAAATTGGGAAATACAATTTGACAGTAGCAAAAACATTCCTCTACTTAAATCATAAAACAGTAGTATTATCCAGGAACAGAATCTATAAATCACGGTATAGATTTCAGCAAAAAATAATTTTCTGGTCAAGGTTTCTGAAGAAACCAGCATTCTCATATAATTTAATCCTTTCTGGCTGGATAATAATATGCTTTCAAAAAAAATTTGAAAGATTTTCTAAATAAAGAACAACTGTTGTTTTCAAACTCATAAGAATATCAAGGATTCCAAAAAGGCCACACTCTCTAGTGGGTGGTAACACAATCATAATCATTTTTTTATCAGAATTACTGTAGCTCAAATATTTTTGTAAAAACCATGAGCAATTCACTAAAAAAGAACAAAAACTTCCCACAGAAAACAAAGTTCCAAACAAACTCCATAATTTAATTCATAAATGGATTCGAGTCTGAAAGTGCAAGCAGATAACTAGTTCACAAGTGTGGTGGTATTTACAACCTCTCTGAAACCTATTCTCCATGAAACTTTGTAATTTACCAAAAAAGGTATTTATAACTGAAATAGTCATCAATTATTTTCACTATAAAACAGCCCCCCTCCCCAATAAAAGAACAGATTTCAGGTGTCCTGTGTTCCTTCTTCCCCCGCCAGCAGCCACAAACAAAAACCATACTTAGGGTCTTAGGGTCTGAAGTGATGGTTCAACAGGTAGGTACTTGGCTTGCACACAGCCTACCTGGGTTCGAATCCCGGCATCCCATATGGTCCCCCTGTGCACCAGAACTAGAAGTGCAAAGCCAGGAGTAAACCCTGAGCACAGATGGGTATGGCCACCAACATCAAACCAAACCAAATCAAAACAACACTTAATTGTGGGTCACTGTCACTGTCCTCCGGTAGCTCATCGATTTGCTGAGCAGGCCCAGTAACGTCTCCATTGTGGGACTTGTTACTGTGTTTAGCATATCGAATACCTCACGGGTAGCTTGCCAAGCTGTGCCTCCCGGGGAGATACTCTCGGTAGCTTGCCGGTCTCCCCAATAGGGGCGGAGGAATCAAGCCGACCAGGTCTGCCCCATGCAAGGCAACCGCCCTACCCGCTGTGCTATCGCTCCTAGGGGTGGGTATGTTGATTCTGATAGCACCAATGTCTTTACTAAATACATTTTATTTTTATGAAAAAAACACACAAATTAGGCCTGGAAGAATTCTCTCCGGGTGGACCTCTCCTATCGTATTGGGAAAGGGATATGCAAGTTTAGTCCACTGGGACCAAATGCTTCTTGGCCACATACAATCTTGTTCCGGAGGAAAACACTTTGAAAGTGCAGCCAGGCAGTATCAGATGACACAGATCGTACTATTTTTGAGTTCTGCATTCAGAAAACTCCCTCTTTTTCTTTCTCCCTGTGCAACCTCAGCACAGGGGTGAGTAAAGTAAACTCTTTGATCCGTGGCTCCCGGGACCCTAGATGAAATTCTAAATGGAAGGAGCTCGTTTTACAAAAGAAAAGGCAGAGCGGGGAGGGGTCGGCGGAGAAGAATAGCTTCCAGCGAAAGAGCTAGGAATGACACACCGTCTAAGTGCGGCGGCAGTTTCATAAATGCACTAAATGTCTGTGGGGGTTAAGAACCGGCTGCGAACAGACGGACGGTGCAATTACATAAAGGGGCGGGGACATTTCCAAGTAAACCAGTAAATGCACACATAACCAATTGAATCATTTCAAGCCTTCCGCTACAGAAAGAGCCCCAATTATTAGCAAGAAAACGTCGCTTGGTGTCAGCAGGCTTTCAGCTGGCCGAGGCCCTGGGATCAGCTAGCCTATTGCAGAGCGATCGCCCTAGGTGCCGGAATCAAATTCTGAGTGTTTGGTGTTGGGGGGCGGGGCGAACGCGCCCCGGATCTCTAACAGCTCCCGGGCTCACCCGATGCCTCCCCCCCCCCCCCCCCTCGCTCCGGCCTCCCGCAGCCCATCCTCAGGGGCACCTGCCCATCTATAACCAACAGTTGCGTCCGTCCCCAGGCTGCGTTATTTAAAATCGGCTCGGGGTTCAAGGGGGTGAAAAAAAAAAAGTCTCCAGGCCCCCTGGAACCAGCCTCCAAACCAGACCTACCACTTCCACCCGCCCCCCCGGCTACTGGAATCCGCCAGGTAGGCTGCTCCCGAGACAGGGAGCTCCTAAACTAACCGCCGCGCGCCCCAAGCAGAAAGGCCTGAAAAGGGCCCAGGGCGGGTAGGGCCGGTGTCCTCATCCCCTAACAAGCCCATCTTTCTACTTCCAGCCTGAGGGTCCTCGTCACCGGCGAAAGGACAGCGCCGCAAAGCTCACCCCAGGTTCAAGTCATCACGCTTCCGGAGGCGAAGGCTCCGCCCCAGCCTGCTGCTCCGACCCGCCGGCGGGGCCCGAGCGGTCGCGCCTCAGTGACGCCAGGCCCCGCCCCTCGCGCGTTGCCTGGAGACAGGGCTCGCCCCGCCCCGCCCCCGGCGCGTTGCCTGGAGACAGAGCAGGCACTTCCTTCCCATCCAGTGGGTCCACTTGCCTGCGCGGCTTCTCTTTGCACCTTCGGAACCCGCAGAGTTCCCAGCTGACCCGGCTGGGTGCTGGCGAAAGCCGAGGAGGAAGCCTTGTGGAAGGCTTGTCGGTGCAGGGGGGTAGTGTTGGGCAACGGTCTTGCCACTCTCATTTATCCTGGTGCCTACTGCTGAACGTACTGTCTAGGACTCGACTGGTGACAAAGGCGGCACTGCAAACCCGTTTGACCTCGGATGTCAAGACTACAGCGACGGATTCCAACCCCTCCCGCACCCCGTCCTCCACCCCCCAGCTGTCACTGAGACTTTATGGTTTCTTTACCATTGTATAGGGTCAATCTCCCCTCCCGACCCTCAACACACACACACACACACACACACACACACACACACACACACACACACTCAGCTAGAGGGGGAGTATAAAAGAGAATAGATGGGAAATAACTATCGCAGGATCTGAAACGATTAATCCTAGTCCAGGTTCTCCAACCACTGATGCACTATTCGCAACCATCGAACCACTTGTCCGCAGGTGGAGACAGGTTGAAAAATCACTGATCTACCTAACCATCTGCGTTATAAATGCCTGTTAGTGGGCTGATATGCCAGGACGGCGCTGCCCTGCAAGTGTAAAAAGGTTGAAGAATGCTGCCCTAGTCTGTGACAGCCAATCTCAGCACATGGAGAGATTACTGCTTTTCAGGATGTCTGTAGTCAATCATTGCTGCCCATTAAGCAGTTTATTTGTCGTGTGCCAATTAACTATACTAGGCGCTTTGCAGGCATTGCTTCTGTTTAAATAGTTTGCTCATAGCTAAAGAGCACAAGATAGACGTTCAGGTACGAATGATACTGAATTCTTATCTGGTAAATTAAACTTGCGCTTAATATTTGACATCTGTCCTCACCGGTGTTTTACAGAATTGGCTTGTGAAGAAATAATCATGAGTTCTAATAGATCTTCATTCCTAATGAATAATACTGGAATTTCATACGTGCCAAGCCCTATACACACATTTTGAAGGCATTCATTTAATCCTCACAGCAACTCTGTTATTAATATCCTTAACTTGCAAATGAAGAAACAGGAAGTCTTAAGACCCAGGTCTGAGCTGAGGGCTGGGGCTGAGCCTTAACTTTCAGGGTCAAACAATGAACACTGAACCCTTGCTTCTATCTCCCATTCTCAGTTTCTTCTGAGATGATAAGGTTTCATGAGACCAGGTTTCTGTCTATGCACTCTTATTTCTGCAGCAACTAGGGCAGTGCCTGGTGGGCAATAATGAACATTTGATGAATTATATGAACACTAAAAAAGCTCAAGGACCTAATGTCATATACAAAAATTAATTAAAATAGAACATAAATTTTAAAATTACAATTATAAAATGTATACAAGATAACAGAAAAGTAGTGATGTTAAATTGGCATTTATTAAATATGACACAAAGTAGAAGCTATAGTAAAATATGACATAGGGGCCAAGATATCTCTTTGGCCCATAATAAAAAAATTATCTAAATCAATTGTACTTCATTGAAATTCTGCTTTTCAAAGGAAGCAAAATGCCATAGACTGAAAAAAGAACTTGCCAAACACTTTTGACAAAACATTTGTTTTTAAGTAAAGAAGTGTTATAACTCAGAAGAAGTAGAGCATAATTTTGGCAGTGGGATCACTTTAGCATTTCTGTGAGTTACCAGAACCACACTTGGCAGGATGCCATGATTCCCAGGCTACCCTCATAAGTGCTTGGGGAAGGGAGGCATGAGGGGTGGAGGGCACGTAGCACTGGGAATGGAACTCAGGATTTTGTGCATGCTAGGCATGTGCTCACGCCTCCCAAAGAACTCAATTTCTTTTTAATGGGCAGAAGATTTTTAGTGTGAACGAGTTTCCTAAACAATGATCAAAGAACTCAATAGACCATTTTCAGTGATAATTGGCCAACCAACCTCACTAAAAAATTCAGTGGTAGGATCTGGTGATGCAGTGCTGTTTGGGCTTTGCATTACTGGTGAGAGCTTCACCTGGTGATGTTGGGATACATTCAGTGTGAGATGGAACATGGATCTTCACATGTGCAATACAGTGTCTCTTCTCTCCAATAAATCTCTTTGGCCCAAAAATTGGGCAAAAGATTTAACAGATACCTCACTAAAGAAGATATATGGATGCCAAAACAAGCACATGGAAAGATTTTTAGCAGCATTATTAGAAAAATTTAAATAAAAAATCAGATAGTACTTCATATCTTAGTAACTAGAATGATTATAATTTTAAAAGCTATGCAAAGTGTTGGCAATGTAGAATGACTATCATTTTTAAAGCTGTTCAGAGTACTTGCAAGTATGTAGGATACTAGAATCACTCTGCAAATTGTTTTCAGTTGTATCGAAGGGGGTCAGTACCCCCTTTTGTATCTTGTAGAGAGTATAGTAAGGATTAAACTATGGAAGAGACAAGACTAAACTATTTTAAAATTAGTATCAACTTAGTATTATTAATGATAACAAGATAGTTTCTTATTACATCATCAATGGTAGGCATTAAGCATTCTTTTCGAGACCATAATTAAAGAGTAAAAAAAGGCAATCATTGGACTGGAGCGATAGCACAGTGGTAGGGCGTTTGCCTTGCACGCGGCCAATTCAGGTTTGATTCCCAGCATCTCATATAGTCCCCTGAGCACCGCCAGGAGTAATTCCTGAGTGTAGAGCCAGGAGTAACTCCTGTGCATTGCTGGGTGTGATCCAAAAAGCAAAAAAAAAAAAGCTATAATTAATAAGGCTTATCTTTAAAATCACAATAGAAGAGATTAGAGATTCTCTCTGGAATAGGTGTTCACTGTATCACTGTATCACTGTCATCCCATTGTTTGTAGATTTACTCTATTTGTCCCAGCCCTGAGATTTTAGCAGCCTCTCCTTACTTGTCTTTTCTCAAAGATTGGAGGCTCTTTCAGGGTCATGGGAAAGAGACCTGTTATAGTTACTGGTTTTGGCATATCAAATACACCACAGGGAGCTTTCCAGACTCTGCCCAGGCAGGTCGGATACTTTTGGTAGCTTGCCAGGCTCTCTGAGAGGCATATATATGTATTTCTCTCTATGACTTGTAGCCTACTGTCTGAACTCCATCAAACATGGTGTGATAATCATGGAAAATGGGAAGGAAGTGTTGCATGGCCGCTTTGTGGCCGCACAGTCCAGAAAGCAGCCTGGAGCATGGCGGTGGTTGGGTAGTAGAGATTGGCTGCTGGGGCTGGGTCCCTTGGGGCAGGAAGGGCCCTCGCCCGCCCCCCTCTGAGGCACCCCGAGTGAAAACAGCCCGTTGCAGAGTCTGGTGGCATGGTTATGGGGGTCTCATTTTATACTCCCGTCTGGGAGGAGCAGCCATGAGTTCTGGAGGGTGGTCCATGAGGAGATTATCTGGAGCCGGCAGGGCGTAGTTTATGGGTGTGACCCCTGGGTCGCCAGAGACTGGGAAAACAGGCAGAGGATCTCTGCTCCCGGGTCCCATTGAGTCCAGAGTCCAAGGTCACAAAGTTCCTCATTACCTGAGTTCTGTGGGACTTCACTCCTGCGTGAGGCTCGGCCCGAGTGTCCAGAAAGTGGCCTGGAGCATGGCAGTGGTTGGGTAGTGGAGGTTGGCTGCTGGGGCTGAGTCCATGGGGAATAGGTGTTACATAGTTATTTTGTAATAAACTAAGGATATGTGACTTCTATCAAATACTATAATAAATTCTATCGTATAAAATAGTGTAAAAGAATGTTTGTAGAAAATCATACATGCAAGTAGCAAGTGTTATGAAAAGAGAAATCTGCAAGTTAATTTTTGAAAATAACATTATGAAGCCTATAATTAGTAATGTGTATTTACAAAGTTTATACAAATGTCAGTTAAAACATGCTTCAATAAAATTATAGCAAATTAAGTTCTATGGTGATTTTTAGGAAAACCTGAGAGCTTTGAAATGGTGTTTTTCTAAGAAAGCAGATCCAATGTCTCCTGTTTTCTATAAGGTCACTAAACATCTGTCACAGGACTGTGGGAATATGGGAGGAAGACTTTCAGAGGCTATGGATTGTAAACAGTTTCAACTTCCTGTATATAATTCATAATATCATAAAGTTGAAATAATGGCATAACAAATTACCTGGGCCAACACTATTCTTCTATAGACAAGGAAACCCATTCAAAGATGGGATATGATTCACCTTAGGACTTACAGAACAAATGACTACAGTGGGTGACAATCCAGATTTCCTGGTCACTGTTTAGTGCTTTTGCTCACATCATATTATTGCTTTGAAGGCAGAATATGAAGGAACACTAATTATTAAGATGAAAGCTTTGTCATCTTCCAGGATGCAGCATTTTATGATTTTTGTATCCTAAGATCCCCTCTTTCCGGCTGTGTCTTTTCCAGCCTTATCCCCAAATTTCTGTTTTTATTCATAATTACTCAGATAATTTTCATATAAGCACTGTTAGTAGTTATCACTCATTGATGTTCCAAATCTGTAATTTCACTTTTACATAGAATATCTCCTTCAGTAATGAGTGTGCTGCAGTAATGACAATTGAATTCAACCATTCCCATGCCAAATTAACACAGTATACCTTTTAGTCTATGTTAAATCATACTGGAATCTATCTGTCCCCTAATGTATTCTAATATGGTATCCTATGTTTTTTTAAATGTCCTTTTTTATCTTTTATTTTGATTCTTAGTATACACATAGGAATTAGTGTCCTGTGTGTATCACCTCATTTAAACCTCACCATGGTCCTGAAAGATATAATCTTAG